GTGTATTTTTTGGCATGCCGCACACGTATGTGTACATGGATACATATGCATGTATATATATATATATATATATATAGATATAGATATATATGTTATATGTTTGTTATATCTTTTTTGCTCCGTTCTTTTTTATTTTTATTATTTTTGTAAAGAAAAGACAGATCAGCATACATCACAAGTTATGCAAGCTGAGGTCCCGCAGTACGGGCCGGCTGACGTGATCCGTATCACCAATACCTGTTCTGTTGCTCCAGACACAGTCACGCTGAGCGACGACGAGGTGCTAGTGCAGAACAGCTATGCGGGTGTTAACTTCATTGATACGTACTTCCGTCAAGGGCTCTACAAGAAACCGCACACGCCCTTTGTCCTGGGCGACGAAGGTGTTGGGAAAGTGATCAAGAGGGGTGCGGCGGTTGAATCACCTGCCGTTGGTCAGCGTGTGGCCTACATGGGTAGCGTCACGGGCTCCTACGCGACGTACACTGTGGTGAAAGCAGCGATTGTATCACCGGTGCCGGACGACGTGGAAGACAAGGCAGCTGTGGCAGTTGCATGTCAGGGACTGACGGCGCACTGCCTTACGCACGACAGCTACCGCTGCGGCCCCGAGTCATGCGTGCTCGTCCACGCGGCGGCAGGCGGCACGGGTCTGCTTATCTGCCAGATGGCAAAACTCCGCGGAGCATTCGTCGTGGGCGTGTGTGGCGGCAGCGAGAAGGCGGCACTCGCACGCTCTGTCGGTCATGTCGACCACGTCGTAGACTACCACGCCTTTCCCGACTGGACCACTGAGGTGCGCAAATTGGTGCCTGGCGGTTTTGACGCCGTTTATGACGGTGTGGGGAAAACGACGTTCATGGGGAGCCTGTCGGTGCTGCGGCCGTTTGGTTTTATGATCTCCTTTGGTAACGCCAGTGGGGCTGTTGACCCGGTGGCGCCGCTGCAGCTCAAGGACGCTGGTAGCGTTTACCTGCAGCGGCCGTCGCTCTTTGATTACATTCGCACTCCAGGTGAGAAGGAGCGCCGATTGGCGGATATATGGGGATGGATCAAGTCTAAGAAGCTCCAGCTAACGTACAGCCATGAGTTCTCCCTTCAAGAGGCCGTGGAGGCGCATAAGTACTTGGAGGGCCAAAAGTCCGTTGGCAAAGTACTGATTCGCTGCAGTTCGCCGTAGTAGATAACGCATATGTACCGCACACGAGAAGAATTATTATTATTTTTTCTTTGCTGCTTTCACGTGTGTAATGAGGGATGTATTTGAGAACAAACACACCAGAACACACAGCGCTCTACACCACCACGGTTTCAGTGCTTTTTTTTTCTTCGTTGTTGTTTCTCGCTTCATTTATTTCTATTAGTAGATGTTGTAGCTGGGCTTCTGCATTTACTTTGGTGGCGAGATTTGCTCGACCGCTTGGTGTTTTTTTTTTTGTTTCTCTCTCCTCCTCCTGCCTCTGTCTTCTGCAATCGCGGCGAAGTATTGATTTTTTTTTTTTTTACCTTCCCATTTTCTTTCTTCTTTCTTTGCTCGACGCCGTCACTCTCCCGTGCGCTTCTCGGTGGGCAACTGAGGCGCAAATTACTGCTGTATTTTGACACCAGGAGAGGTGGCGGCAAACGAAGGATCCTCGACTTCTCTTTCTGTCCTCCACGCATCCTACCGAGGAAGGGAAATACTTCGCGAGAAGAACACGGCTCGGTCAGCGGAGACTTCTCCCGTCACGATGGACGCCCTTAACGACTGGGTGATTGTTGAGGATGTGGACAAGACGCCATTAACAGTGGACAGCATTAATGTGAATACCGCCAGTGGCGGCAGTGACAGCAACAACAACAACAGCGGAACGAAAGCGGAAGTCAACAAGGAGGGAGCTACAGAAGAAAAAATTGAGAAACAACCGCGTGACGCGGCAATACAGCAGTGCGAGGAGCCGCGGAAGTTGAGTGAAAGTTTCAACGCTCTTCAATCAAGAGAATCGGGTCAACACTCCCGCGTGGACTACGGCGCCTCGACAACCGAAAATGACGCGTCGACAGCGACTTCCAGAATGTTGCTGCGTGACAGGACACGTTTCTGCACCTCCGCCGCGGCGGCCATTTTTCAGGAAAAACTTGAAGATGGGGACACACTACCGCTCTCGTTGTCGGTACCTTCACTTGTTGACGCATCTACCATGGAGGCGCCCCTGCCTCAATGGACTGCAGTGTCGGCGGGTTGTGGTCTAACGGCATCTGTGGGATCCATCAAGTACTTCTCTTTTGGTACAAAAAGCATCTGCAACAACAGTGATCGAATGTGGCGCCACATAGTAAAAGTATACTTGGCTATTGTACCCCACAAGCTGCTAGGGAGAAGTCCCATTGACTATTGTGTGTGCTTGGTAACAGTGGTGTGCTTGGCGGTCTGGGCCTTAGTGGGAAAAGAGGAGAAACGACACGAATGCCACAGCTACACTTTTTCCGGTGTTATCTCTGCTGGAGCAACATTGGTGCAGGTTGTCATGGTCGTTGTGGGTCCGTTGCTGTGGTTGTGGGAGATATATACCTCAAAGAACGGCTGTAACACCGACACAACGAATTCATATAAGGTCAAAAGCGATGAGGTGGAGGCTGAAGAAAAAGTGCTTCAGTATCGCAGCGTTTCCAAACCACTAAAATTTATGCTGATGACGCTTCTGGATGTACTCCTCTCCCAGGAGGAGACGGAGGAAATGGGTGAGATGAAAGACGGAGGCGATGGTGAGGCTAACACAGGCATCACAACAGAAAACACTGACAAAGGGAGAGTTGTAACTTCACCACCACTACAGCTTCGGGTGTGTTCACTGCTGTTGTTGCCTGTCAGTGGAATTGCTCTGACACAGTGTGTTGTGCTTCAGTGTTGTTGAGAAACGTCGTTGTGGATCACACACACACACACACACACACACACACGCGCAGGTAATATGGGAAGATTTGCTCTGCCAGTTACGTCATTGACCGCTCCTGCTGTTGTTTGCCAGTATGTATGTGTGCTGGTGATGGGAAAAGGCTTGTATAAGTCACATGCACAACGAGTTCCATCGCTTCATGTATCTCTTCCCTCCCGTTCCTTGTTTGTTTCGTGGATAGACTTGTGAAGGCAGAGATCATTGTTTCTTCTGTCCCAAACCGCAATAGAGTGGGGGACGGCGGAAGACAAACAAAAAAAGAATTTTTTTGGGTGCCTTCTTGTTATAGTGATCCGTGTCCTTCTGTTCGTCTTCCCTTTCACCCTTTCCATTTATATTTGCTCATCGTGTTTGACGTGCAGGCGACTTGCTGCCCCCCCGGCGCATCTGCGCTTGGAGGCGGTTTGCTGCGGCGCAGTGCGGGCGAAGAAGTGCCAACGAAACGAACAAACAAAACAATGAAATGACGGATAGAACTGATTTGGAACAAATACGCGAGCAAAAAAAAA